TTTCATCCTTGCAGATGCTCAGACAGCAGGGGACCCCCCAACAAACCCCCCACCCCTCACACACCACACACACAGTTGGAAATCCTATCAAAGATGCAGAGTCCATACATAAAGACTGCCTTCATATATGTCTGTGTCGGTCCCCTACCTGCAGGAGACCTGCAGCCCTCCGCTGAGGTTTAATCATCATTTCTCATCTGAAACACATCCTGTTCTAAAAGGTTTCCACAATTTTTTTTTACTGAGCTGAAGTAACAACCACTGATCTGAAAGTATTTGTTTTCTGTTGAGTAAAGTAACAGATTGCTCATATTTCAAAAGCCTCCTGCAGTGTAGAACAAACAGAAATATATATTTTTTAAATGTGTGTTTCACTTTCAGATTGGCCTGACCTGATACCTCCTCCACAACACAACGACGCACGCATTTGTTTTTCTGCAAAACAAGTGGGAGATGCATATAAAAAGCTGCCTGCTGCAAAGTCCTTTTTTCTTTTTTCTTTCACCTGCACACAAACACACAGACAAAGCAGCCACTGCCACCGCACACAGGACTCGGCCTGTCTGTGTGACACGCACGGTTTGTTTGGTAGTTTTAATTTGACAGTGCTCTGAATAGAGCCTCTGAGACACACACTCACACACTCTCAGACCTCCACATACACACGCACACACACACACCTTTAATTTGACAGCGCTCTAACAAGAGCCTGCTGCTTGTCAAATGTTCTCCAGTGGCAGCAGGGATCCGCAGAGCTGAGGGGGTTCTGTTCAAGGACATCTGTGAAGAGACGCACACACACACACACACACACTCCTGCACCAGCACACACTCGCTTTTGAATAGGCTGAGTGGGGCAGAGGCAGCCCGCACGCTGAGGAGGTTTCCACACTGGTCCTCTCACTCTCCATCTTCTGTTTTCACCTTCTTTATCTAACATTCCGTCCATTTCTCCTTCTTTTCCCTCTCCTCCCTTTTCGCTGCCGATTCTCCCTCTCACTCCTCACACACTCACACGTGGACACACTTCAATTTTCTCTTCAATTCAAACACCACGAGACCTTTTTAAAGTTACTCAAAGGCAGATCAGACTTCTGTTCCAAAGCTCCGGATTGGATCCCATTGAAGGTGTGTGTGTGCCCTCAGGACGCGTTCGCCTGTGTGCGTATGTGTGTGTGTGTGTGTGTGTGTGTTGGGGAGGTACCATGCTGTCTCGGATGTGGCTTCCGCTGGACACTTTGCTCATTAGAGGGACGAGAGTGGGACTTGAGTGACTTCTCATTGGCTCCCTGCTCAACTTGATCACAAGGCTATTCCTGTGGAGCGGGAGAGAAAAAGCCAGGTTTGAGCACTGTGTGTGTCGCATGGAAAAAACAGCGTGACACACCTGAGGAGATGTGACTGCAAGTGTAAGAAGACTACAATAACATTCACATTAAAACAAGCTTAAAAATAGGCCATTTGGGCAGAGACACTAATTCCAAAAGCTTCCCTTGTGCCATTGTAAAACAGGCGCAAAAAGAGGCATTTGACAATAAAAATATAAAAAAGATTAAGGGAAAAAAACATCACCCGCTGCAAAAATCACAGTATGTCAGACGTAAAATCAAAATGTCAAACATTACACAAGATCAGTTCAAATCACAGACGGGCAGATTGGCCATTAGAAGGGATCTGTGGCCGTACGTCTACCTGTGTGCACGGTCCTGTCAGATAAATGCACATCTGATCTCCAAAGAGGGTTCACGGGGGGGCATCCCAAATGTCAACATGGCCATAAATACAAACATTTCCCTGCAATTTGCAGTGACATTAAAGCAAAAGGGAAATTGTAGCCGGGAATAAAAGGGATTCCTGAGACAAAGTTCAGCTTTTGGCTTTGCATGATAACCAAGCGCTCCAAAGTGCAGGGCGGAGCGTTAACCCGTTTCAAGTTGTTGATTGTATTTCGCGATAAATCTGGCACTGATGTGACTCCACACTGAGGATGCTCGCCGGTCTTGTGATGATGAAAAGCCGCACGCGGATTATTTGAATCCTGTAAATCACAGCTAAAAGTCACTGTGCAAAGCCAAGGTCTATGAAACTATCAGCCCGGAATAGAGAACATAGACGATATGTTACCGCATTGCCAAGTGCTACCACTTAATACCATTAATCTCGGTGCTCTCTCCCTCATCCCTCTCACTCCATCTCTGTGTTGGAGTGCTCGGTGTCCTCTAAAAGTATGGATCTTGACCGCAGCCATTTTCCACAGAAGAAGGAAAGGCTAAAGAGAAAGCGGTGACCCCTTTTCGCCGCAATTTTCCCCTCATCAACTTGTGAGACTTCATTAACTTCTATGTGGTAATTTCCTCTTCCAGTGCGTTTGGGAGAGGAGGGAGGCAAAATGACGTTTTCTCATCCAGTCATTTCGAGCTATTATCATTTCCTCCTATTCTCTCTGCAGCAACCCTTAACTTTATACATTTTCCATTTAGGTTTCATTTCGTTTTCTGCCTCTAAAGCTGCCACCCCTAAGAGTCATTTAAGTGTAAGGTGGAAACGAGCCACCAAACTCAACAACTTTCAACTTCCATGCCGTGCAATGAGTCCCAGAATGGTGAGAAAGTTTTTTTTTTTTTATGATTCTAACATTTCACAGCTTTTATGAAAAATCTTGCATTTAAAATATTAGCTGCTGGATGTATCTGAAATAGTCTGGGTGCTCTTTTTTAGGCCTCAGCACGAGGCACAGCAGTGAGCCAATGCTGCCCTCTACAGGAATGTTGGTGTAATGCAGGCAGTTGGTCTTCATTTCTAGATATTACGTTTTTATTATTAATTAATACATTTATTATTAATTTCTTCTGTTCTGGATACGTGATAAAACATATAATTTGATGTCATTCTATTTATTTTATTATTGTTAGAGACTTTACAAGTTATAGTCAAATATTTATACAATGGGAGATTAATATGCAGCGAATCTTCTCCAGGTTTGTGGTAGGTAGAGCAATTTTCTCCTGGGTCAGTGGCACCAAACCAACCAGGAAAATTGATAAAGGAGGAAGGCTCTGTCCTTGGGATTGGGGGCCCTGGAGATGGCTAAGAGGAACACCCCACAAACTGCATAACATAACAGACAACAAAAACATCCTCAGAACAAAAGCGGTATCAGTTCCACAAAGACAGAACTGAAGGACTTCAGTATTTTACATTATTGAGGCATGTATTCACAGATGGGATAAATACAGCATAATTCAGCCCAGTTACAATTAAGATTTTGTTCAATCTTATAATTGAGGTTAAACCTACTGATTAAAGGGCTTATCAGGCAACATAAAACAATTACACATAATGTAACAGTTGTTCTACAAATGTAAAAACAATAAATGACACGCAGTAAAAGGTGTGGTGCACCAGGTTACCATTCAAAATGCTTATGTTTTAGTCACTCAAGTCAATGCAAAAGAAAAACTTTTACCGAATTGAGAAGAAGGTCGGGATGAGGAGCACGGCGCCCGTGTCGTCCAGTTCCGGGACATTTCATCTCCAAAACATCTCCAGCCACACGAACCAGCAGCAGAACTGGAAGTCTTCTCTCAGACAGACAGAACAAAGCTGTGGAGGTGCTGCACCAGATTTTTCCGGGCTTCTCTGACTGCTGCACTCGTCTGATTTTCTTGGCAGAATTGTTAATATGCTGTGCAGTAATTAAGTCCATCGAAGTACTGAAATACACTGGCAAGAAAGTCCGAATCCATAATGATTTTACCAGCTCTGGCTTGTGGGTTGTAGCTTAAGAAACAAAAATAAAACATTAACATAGCAACATAGTTTTATATATATATATATATACAGTGGGGGAAATAAGTATTTGACCCCTTGCTGATTTTGCAGGTTTGCCCACTTACAAAGAATGCTTGTTTTTCCTCATCAGATGGTTATCAATTTTTATAAATTCATATGATGTGATTTTCTGGAATTTTCTTTGGGATTCTGTCTTTCACTGTTAGAATGTATATAAAATTAAAGTTATAGATCATTGCATTCTTTATAAGTGGGCAAACCTGCAAAATCAGCAAGGGGTTAAATACTTATTTCCCCCACTGTATATGTATAAATACATACATATATACATATAAATAAATAAATGTGTGTGTGTGTAAGAAGAAATTAAAAGTTCAGTGATAGTACTATTAGTGCTGCAGTCAGTCAGAAACAACTTTGGAGATCCTGTACATTCCTGAAGGACCACAAGCTGTATCAAAGCAGTCCATCTCGTGCTCACTCCGGTAGGCGATGTTCATCTGTCTGCAGCGATATGTAAACCGTCTTCTTCCTCCGGGGACCCTCCCTGGTGCACGAGGTGCCACGGCCCTCCCGGCCTGCTGCAGAAAAAAAAACGCCAGCTGCTCACTCTGCCAAATGTCAGACCTGGCATTTGGCAGACGTGGGGCCTCCGTCCCAGTTACAGTTCTGGTGGATCGCTGATGTTTCTGCTTTTTTCAGAGCTGTGCCTTTAAGAGGCCCGGCCCAGCAGGGGGCGCCACCGCAGAGCATCAGGGAGCTGTTGATGGTCTCAGCATCCACAACAGAACAGAGTTGCGTTTCCCCAGCCGGGTCATCCTCCAGTCCCTGCTCCAGCCCCCCCCCGATTCAAACGGAGAGGTCGTCATCAGCCCTCTGCAGCAAAATAGAGCCGTCCCATCCATCTGAGTCAGCTGTGCTGGAGCAGGGAAGCGCTGGAATATCAAAATACCACAAACGGCCCACCCAACCTAAGTGTGGAGGCTAACCAACAGCCAGATATCTGTCTGTGAAACGCAGGGGCGTCAAACTCCAGCTCTCAAAGGCCGCTGTTTCAACACACCTGATTCACACCAAAGAGACGTTAGCTGACCGGTGCAAAGCTCCACACTGTCCAGAGATCCGATTCAATCAGAATCAGGTGTGCAGAAGCAGGGAACTGTCTAAAACCTGCAGGGCAGCGGACCCCCTGGACCAGAGTTTAACCCCCCGGTGTAACGGCTCATCTTCTTCTGAAACGCAGAAAGCAAAAGCTGAACAGGTCCAATAAGAAGAGTTTTCTATGAGCATTCAGGTTTATTAAAGGCACATCTGTTAAAAAGAATACATTAGCTGTGCTCCACATATACATTCATTGTCAATCAACGTTGCCCTTGGACTAAACTCTTTTTCTCACATTAGACTTGTATAGTTGAAATGTTACCGATAGAACAACCGTTCAAAAGGTATTTAGTCTGTAAGGCAGTTGTTTCGAGACCTTCATTTGAGGAAAAAACTAAAAACCTAAATCACTTTAATATGACACATCCCCTTAGTATGAGCACCCTTGGAATCTTGTTTTAGTGACAATTTCTGAATTACATTTTATACATACAATACAGAATATTCAGCTGCATCTATTTTAGAAATACTACTACTAAATGTACAATGCATCACATTTCACAGCACTATTAAAAAAAATCAGTCAAAAAGTTCCCAGTTTCCAGTGTACATGAACCACTCGTGTTGTCAGTAGGATACAGTGGAATGCCGACTCAGCCTGTCCTTCAGTAGTTAGTGTTTGATAAGCCGGGAGAGGGTGAGGGTTCAGAGCAGCTCAGCTACTTCACACAGCTGCAGCCTTCTTCTTAACTACACCAACACCGTGCAGAACTTCAGAGTAGGAGCTTCCATTCCCAGGGTTTTGCAGTCCCGGAACACCACGTCGCATCAATTCAGGAATTTCTTCCTGAGATTCACTGACTGTGAACCTGCTGCCTCTTTTTAACGCCGGACCCCTCTAAGTCCTTCATGCAGGAAGCTAGGAAAGTGCGGCACTGCAGAGTGTACTGCTCGGGAAACTCCCGGAAGTGGCTGACGTGGGGGCTGGAGACGAAATCGAAACAGTCCACGGGGACGCCTTTCTTCCTCAGGCTCTCCATGAAGTGCTCCACGTCCCGGTGCCGGATCACCTGGTCGGCGCGGGAGTACAGGTGGAAGTGGGGCCAGGCGGGCGGCCGGTCCTGCACGGCATCGTAGTGGTTCTTGTGAATGAACTTGGTCAAGGGGTACAGCACCACTCGCAGGAGGAAAACGCTGACCGCAAACAGTGCCAGGAGGATGTACCTTAACGGGGGGCTTATTTTGGGGCCCAGGGTGGCGGCCAGGGCGCGCAGGGCCCCGCGGATGTTCCCGCTGCCCGGGGCGCTGTCCACCACGGCTCCGATCACGCACAGCGAGCTGAACTGCTCGTCCCTGTGCAGCAGCTCCACGATGTAGCGGTAAAGCATGAAGCCGCCGTTGCTGAAGATGTGGAAGAACACGGGGCTGTTCTCCACCTCGTAGTCGTACAGGATCTCCAGCAGCTTCAGGGCGGTGCTGCTCAGCTCTTTGTAGCCAAACGACTCTGAGATGAAGACTGTTTTCAGAGGGGCCGTGTAGCGGATGGTGACACATCCCTAAAAAAAAGTGGGAGAGAGCAAACATAAGAATGGCTTCCATTGAAGCTCTGTGCTGTCAGAGAGCACAAAGCAAAGCAGCCTGTGGGGCTGCTGTTTGTCTGGTTCTGACCTGTTCATTGTAGATGGAGCTGTATTTGGAGAGATGCTTGTCCTTGCACCCAGCCCAGCCCAGCAGGATCACAACCGGCTCCTTTGTCCCCTGCCAGTGTCTCTCTGAAAACAGGGCAGGCGACACAACAGCGTTAGCACACAAAGCTAAGCTAACCCAGCAAAGCTAGCAGCCTGAACATTTTCACCACGGTCCGGTCGAGTCGGGTTAACCAAAAAATGTTAGGCTAAGAGGGGCGTGTGCATCTTGTACAACGGCATGGTGCTCACCCGATGTCCCCGCATCTGGAAACACCACATTGTAGTCAATTTCATCGGCTGCCATGTCTAAATGCTACAATATGAGCTGAAGTTCTCTCATCTGTTTCCGTCTTGATGATTTAAAAGCGATTCAAAAACACAAGCTCTTCAGCGCCGGATACAGGAAAGTCTGTTTGGTAATTAAGGTCACACGAGAAAAAAAAAACCCAAAACCTGGTCAATTTCCTGTCAATGGAACCATACGATCCTTCCTACCGACCGGAGAAATTCTTCTTCTTTGTGTGGAACTACGTCACTCCACCGGGGCTCTGGCGCCCCCTGGTGCTGGATGTCCGCCACAGTCTTCAAAACTTATTTTTGTCTTAGCAGCTTATTTCTTAAACTTCTTTATTATTATACAGTTATATTTTAACAAAAAATATGAACAATTTGCTCATTTGAACCTATAACATTATTACAACTATGATACTAATATGTGTAGTACCAATATCATACTTTAAATCTATACATTTGTTTATTTTTCTTTTCTTCAACATCACCATCTTTACTTTAGACAGAAGTGTTGATGTAGCTGCACCTCCATGAACATACAGTACATACAGTTCAGTATTCAAACAGCACAGTGGATAACTAATTGACAACTGTACCTCTAACATAATATCGTGGACAATATTCCTGAAAAAGAATTCAGGAAGCAGAATCATTGTTAAAGAACCTTTATTATCCACCAGAAGCAGAAAATGAAACAAAATCTGGAATGCAGTACAGATACCAAACATCAGCTCATTTACAGTAGAATCACCAACTGAATGCAGTTGCCCACCTTTAACTTTGTCTTTTCTTTGTTTTTTTAACCAACTGACTTTGTGTGTCCCAAATCATCAGAGAACTGCTGCTGCTAGAAGATAAAATGTAAAAAAAAAAAGAAGAGAAAAGCGAACGGCATATTGTGAACATATGATCGCATGTCTGAAAATATTCAACGAAATGACTTTCCACATTTAAACAGTCAGGCTGCAAGTCTGATCTCACATCCAGATTTCTCTCAGCTAATAAAGGTGATCTGTTTGCCCCATAAAAAAAACAAAACACAAAAAAACAAACATCTTCGAATCAAGTTATGCACATGCATCTACTAACTGTTCACACTGAAGAACGTAAGGAATTTTTCGCGGCATTTTTAACTAAAAACTCGGAGGGGAAAATAACAATTTAACAGCTTGACGTGTTTGTATAATGGTAAAAGTTGACCATTTCCCATTAACATCATCATCATCACCATAAAAATGAGACTCTTGTCACCAACGTGACCCCATCACGCTGCTCTGGCTTTATTCTGCCACCGTGGTTAAAAAGGGCAAAACTTCATGTGTTGGAAACTTTCTTTAGTAGATTAAATGAACTCAAACTAAAAATCGAGGCTGGTGTGTATTCCAAATCTTCCTACTACGTGTTGTGTGGTGACTGGCCCCGGCTCCAGACGCCGCGCTACAGCTTTCTGCCCCACACCAACTCCATTTTCTGCACGTGGGCTTTGCAGGACTTGGCGAAGGTGCTTTTGACCACATTTAGAGGGGCCGCCTTGCCGCTAAGGTAGATCTTGTTGAGGCAGCCCGGGATCCAGGAGGGCTCCTTGTCGGCCGTTTCCACGGCAGCCGCCTCCTTCTGCTTGAGGGCGCAGGAGTGGGCGAAGATGAAGCCGGTCATGTAGGCGTCGAAGCCCGCGCGGTGCGTCCCCGTCTCCGCCTTCTTCCTCTGGCCCTCCGGCAGGGCCAGGGAGTCGCCCAGCCCCCCCGCCCCGTCCCCCACGGCCATGGCCAGCGCCGGCTCGGCCTGGTACGCCCCGTTGCCCTCGCCCTGGACGGGGGGGGTCTGCGCCTCGTACTGGCCGCTGGCACTCTGGGGCTCCAATCCCGGGATGATCACCGCCATGGCGTCCTGGGGCTCGCCCGCCGCTTCGCTCACTTCCATGTTGGGTTTTTTGGATTCTGGGGCGCCGTCGGCGACGGAGGCGGCGTCCGGGTTCTCTTTTGCTCCTTTCTTCTTCTCTCTCTGCCTCTGCCTCTTCCTCTTTTTCCTGGAGTCCTCCTTGGACTTCTCGTCCTGCAGGATGATGAGGTCTGTGTCGTGGGACAGTGGACAGTTGGCTCCGTTGGAGCACCAGCCGTAAGCCTGCCGGTCAAGAGAGCAGGATTACCATCACAGTACTGGACCCTGAAATGAGTCGGACTGTGAGCTCCACGTGGATTTACAGCCAACCGTGTGGTCAAAAAAGCTGGAAAAAGGCAGCCGAGAGGCTTGACCCAATTCGGCTGGCTGCCTTTGTGCTGAGTTTATCTTCAATCAGAGATGGATTTTCCCACAACATTCATGCCAACAATTAGTGGGAATACAACTGGAACACAAACAGCCTCTGTGCAAGGCCAAAAAATAAATAAATAAAGCATTGCATGACCGTGAGGTGCATTTCCACTGATAGCTTAATGACTAAAGGCTTTGCCTCCACAAATGCTTCTATTTTCACATGCTTATGGTTCTTATGATGAGAAGTGGTTGGTGCTCACTGATCAGTTCAGAATTGTTCTACTGCTGTGCAGTGATTGACAGTAGGTCAGCCAACGTTTCTTAACTCAAACGTTCCCCTGGTGAAAAATAAAACCCAAAGACTTCACAAACGTGAACGTTCACTTACAGAGAAGGGCTGGCAGATGACGGTTGGTCCCTCAGAAGCGGCTACAGCTGAACACTCTCTGTACTCCACGTAGGCGGACATGTGATCCACGTACTGAGAGAATTCGATGTAAACATGAGGTCCCATTTCATAGGCGGCCACGCTGCGGCTGTTATCCAGATTACTGAGGGAAGGAGCACAGCGTCAGAGGCAATCGGACAAAATAACAGCCGAGAAAGAGGAGTTCTCTTTGATCAGGACGTGTCGTTTGAGCAAATTTCAAGGACCACCTTTTTCCATCTATGTAATATTGCAATAATCAGGAGCATCCTGTGTAAAAATGATGCAGAAAAACTAGCCCATGCATTTGTTACTTCTAGGCTGGAATTCCCTATTATCAGGCTTTGAAAACATCCATTAAGACTCTTCAGCTGATCCAGAATGCTGCAGCACTTGTTCTGACAGAAACCAGTAACAGAGCTCAGATTTGTCCCGTCTTGGCTTCTCTAAACTGGCTTCCTGTTAAATCCAGAATAGAATTTAGAGGGAACTGTTGGGCTTCTGTCAATAACTTCAGAGTCCGGTCTGACCTTCTCTGTTTGGGAGATAACTGTGGTTGTGATGTGGCGCTATATACATAAAATTGAATATTAAAATTGAGATGAAATTCAGCTGCATTGTTTCTGTTTGAATAGCAAACCTGAGGCCAAAAGGGGACTCTAAGTGAAGCGGAACTAACCATCTTTTGTAGGCGTACTCCAGGTAGGATGCAGCCAGTCGGATTTCAAATTCGATGACGTATTTAGTGTCGTAAATGCCAGCGGGGAACATCTCAGACAGGTCGGCTGTGAAAGTGACCAGCCGGTCGGGGAGTTGAGCATAAAAACTCTGGCACAAAAAGACAACATGTATGCGTTAAAAACAAAAGACAAACAGAAAACCAGCTTTACATTCAGTAAACATTTAGTCAAAGTGAGAAAAAGCTTTGGTGAAATAAAAGGAAAAGACGGTTTAACGTAACAGAAATTAAAGTGAGAGAAAAATTGAAGTGGCTGTACTTGGTAAAGGAAGGCTATGTCGATGAGGCCGTTGTGCAACACCAAGGGCTTCCGGGCACGTAACAGCTCGGTGAACAAAGCTCGAATGTGGATTCCACGGTCGTCCGTCCCTCCCTAAGAGACAGAACACGAGCAGAGAGAGCATACGGTTGGAGTTAAGATCAGGCTGTATAAAATCCAGTGGTAGGGGACGAGTTGGGACTCGGGAGGCAGAGGGAAAGCTGGAGCAGAATCATCACCTTACTGTTGCCCTTTACATAAGGGACGCCCAGGCTGTACTGCTTGTTGAAGTCGAACCCGTGCTGGACCAGGAACTGCACCGACTGGGGCTCTATGATGTACTCCTCTGAGCACAGGAGGGTGAGGTTAAACACCTGGACCAGGTACGAGTCTGAAGCCTGCAGGGACAGAAGCATGACAACCACAGCTGTATGAATGGATGGTAACTAGACAGTGAAGTATGTAAATGTGTAAAGTTATTTCCTTGTAATACCTTCTCGTATAGTTTCTTGAAACAGGCAATCCCCAAAGAGAGGATGGAGCGAGAGCGAGCTGCATGACATATGGCCTTATACCTGTCCTCGATAGATCTGAAGCATAACATTAGTTGTGATGAGAATAAACACAAGCAGCCAAATAACTTGAATGATCGACTGAATGAGCATCGTGCACGTCAGCCACATATGATGATGCATTCCGATGACAAACAGATGTTTCTACTCACTCGGCCAGCAAGGCCTTCCTGTTCCCCAGACCACTCAGCTCCTGTAAAAACACACAGCCATGATGTTGCTGCATCCTGGGAAGACTCTCAACACGTGTCGATGCAGCATGGAAACGACTGACTGAACTCCCACACACATGTCCATGCATACGTGCACACTCACCGTGTCCAGTGCAATGAACGACGACGTCTTAATGGCATCGATTAATGTGGGCCAAACCTCCTTAAAATTTTCATTATGCACATCAACGACAGGAACTATCAGGGAAGACGACATGTTAGCCTCCATTTCGCGTCCGAAACGTTTTCCCGCAAAATTACGCACGAGGAAGTTTAGCTATCCTCTGAAACTACTTCGTTACACTTTTTAAGATCAGTTGCAAAACACGAATTATTCACTTGAGTGCAAGTTGCTGTCCTGTTTGTAAAAAAAAGTCCGTTATCATGAGAACCCGAAGCTACCGTTGTTACGACCACAACACCCCAACGTGCTTCTGTGGGTCCTGCGACAAAATACGTCTAGGAGTTCGTATTAGTTCATGAATGTAAATATGCAGGCTTCGCCTAAAAATAAAAATATTACGATTACAACAAACTAAAATGCTTATTACATCAACTAATATAGCTTTGAAATGTTATGTGAATTTTTAGATTAACATTTTATAAATATTTTGCCCTGGTTTTTAATTTGGGCATTTACTGCAGACTACCACATTTTCTACGTCACTATTCCTGGCCAGAAAGAAGACGTGCGCCATTTTGGCTCAAACAAAGTCAGAAATATTTATTCTAGAGGAAATCTTTTAAAATATGTTTTAACCGATTTTGTGCAAAACTTAACGGGATAGCTTAGGCGTTTCCGAGACTTAAATTTCAATGCCACTGTAGTTGTTTGTTTCAGTTAACGTTGTTAGCTTAAGTTAATGATCCCAAAGCCGGCTGGGCTAACTCACCGTTCGTTACATTTGGCTGGTAACCGTTTGCAATGGGAGGCTGCTCGGCTCCAAATTGCTCCAATTCCACCAGCATTGGCAAGCAGCTGTTCAGGTTTCCTAAAGACCCTGTGCGTAAAAAGAAGTGGGTGGTGAACTGCAGACGTGACTTTGAACCAACTCCCCACTCCAGACTGTGTCAAGTGAGTTTATAGCAACACGTATTTTGGTACCCGAAGATGAACTTTGTATTTAACCAACTGCCTGTCAGACTCCAAGTTGCATAGATATTTACCTATTAGATCCGAGTAGTAAAAAAGTATTTTTATTTTTATTTTTCTTATCTGACAGTCTAACTTTTGTTTGTATATGAGTGTAAATTAATGTCTTCACTGCTGTTATCTTTTGCCTGAAGGACCACTTTGAGCAGAGCCAGTTTGAGGAAATAGCCAGGTCTCCAGCTGGTGGGAAGAAGCTGAAGCCCAATGCCATCCCCACCCTGTTCAGCGTGGGGGACCCTCCTTATCCTGCTGTCACCACCCCTTACATCCTTCTGCCGCTCAAGCACGAAACCGGTAGTTAAATGTAAAGCTTGATACCTGCTGTTCATTTAAAGACCTGCAACATGTATCCACACTTTACTCAAGTTTGACCAAGTTTTGTGTGTGTGTGAGTGTTTTGAAAACAATCTGCAGTTCGTGTTGTTGTCTCAGACATTTTTCAAGGTTTGCTGAATCTCTAAACAAACTTGTACAATATCAAAACAATAGCATTGTTAGAAAAAGCAGTTGTCTGCTTGTGTTGAGCAGTTTTTCTGATAATCCACCAATCCCCTCTCTGATCCTCTGGGGCCGTTGTCCTGCAGCTTTAGATGTTTCCCTGCTTCAACACACTTTATTCTGTTTAGATAGACCTGCTGAGGTTGCGATTAAGTTTACGTGTCATTAAAAATGTTATTATGTTTCTAGTGGAAAAAGAGTTAAACTTTGGGGACCATGGCTATGCCAGACGCACCCCCCTGCCCGGTATGGAGGGAGACGACGCAGACGGGACCGCTGAGGACCAGCAGCCCTGCACACAGTGTTACCTGCTTAAGAAACAACTGGAGCAGGAGATGCAGCACACTGCCAGACTGCAGAGGGAGGTGGGAGCGCTCAGCTGCCTGTTCCCTGGAGACTGCCTGGGCTGTTATCTGTCTTTTTGTGTTCCCTTAAGGAGACATTTAACCCTCGTCTTTATGTACACTCCCAAGTAATTTTAATAGTTGCTCAAACTAAGTTTAAAAGCTGAATCGGTTTTGGAAGCACACGTGCTGCTGTGCAGTAAATGACCTCTTTTCTGTCTGTTGTCAGGCCGAAGAGATGAAGAAGAGACTTTACAGGCTGGACAGGATTGAAAAGGGCCTCCAGAACTTCCTGTTCGAGGACCAAATCCGAGCCCTGTCCCTCACCAAGCGCTCGCGTCGCGCCGTGTGGTCCCCAGAGACCATCCTGAAGGCCCGAAAGATCCGCTGCGCCGTGGGAACCAAAGGCTACGAGTACCTGAGAGAGATCGGCTACCCGCTGCCCTCCTACAGGACTCTGTGCAATCGTCTGGAGACTAAGATCATGGTGACGACGGACATGAGCTGCGAGGAGCTGGCCGAGCTGGGCCTGGGGCTCATGGCCACCTGCAGCAGTCCCACAGAAGCTGTGGGAGACAACGAGGAGGCAGAACTGATAGGTGTGCTGTCCTGATCCCGCGTGTGAGCGCGCGCTGCTGGCTTTACCCGCGGGGAGACCGAGTGGAGAATGTGCTGCTTTAAGCCTCTGCAAAAGGTGGAATGTCTGGACAGAGCTGGTGAGTTTGCCCATCTGAGACGCCACCTGCTCGTGGCTGGGATCTGCACCGTTAGATGCCTTTGCTTGGCCACAACAAAGAAAAAGAAGCCTCCACTTTGATTTTCTTTTCTTTATCCTAGATGGAGTCTAAAATGGCAATTTATTCCAGTCTAGACCTCAACTCACCTGAGTCTTTGGCATGGTAGAAAGGAGAAAAAGTCTTCCAGCATCAGTCCCAGATCATGGGGGAAAATCTAAGCTCTAGGGGAGGTTGTGATATGACATAAGCGTGTCCAAACAAAGTTATGAGCTGTTATCGGAGCTGAAAGTGGACGGACAGGAAGTTAGTAACTCTTTAGGCTTTTCCTGTGGGCGCTCACCCGGACTGTGTAGTCTGAGCTGATTCCTGTGATGGGTGCTGCTCCTCTGTGTGAGCAGCGTGTAGCTTCCCTTCTACACAAGCTCTGAACGGGACCTGCGTCAATCGATAAATCGCAAAGATTCTAATGAATTTACATAAAAGGTAGTATGTACAATGTATGTCTGGGGACAAAAAGGTATTAACTTTGGAACAGATGGGTTCTGTGTCATGCAGATTTATCTTACACTATAAAGCCTCCTGTAGGCTGAATCAGATGTTCTTAATGTTTAGTTGTTTTTTTCACTGTAAATTTCAGCCGTTTAAATAAGTTGTTGCGTGTAAAAGTGAAATGAAAGTCCATTAATCACTTTTCTTAAAAGAACAAACTCCTGAAATTTAAAATCTTTGAAAAGCTTTTAACAAAATAAAGAGTAGGTGTTCCTTTGTGATCACGTTTGCTCAGAATAAAACACCTTTTGTCCATTTATTCATTAAGTTAACACACCTCAGAAATAACTTACAGCTAATTGAAGGTAATGAAATAATGTGTAATCTGTGCCAGATTCTGAGTCTGGGAATGTGACCCTATGAGCCCTCAGACTGTTTTTATCTGCAGGGTCATATCAATAAAGAAGAGGACTGATTAAATAAAATGGAACAACTGTATCTGTTTGTGTCTTTTAATGGGGGGAGGCTACTGCACACACACTGTTTACATTTAGCAGATAAATCACACGGGTCCTTTTACTCTAAACATCGTAGAGTATCTGATGTTTTTCTGAAAGTCCAGTCTGCTTTTCTGATATCGGATAAAAACACAAACCTGTGTGTAGTGAGTCGGCCGGGTCAGGTGGTGTGTGTGTTTCTGCAGAGGATGGACTTTGTGCTCATCAAACACACGCCGGCTCAGATATTTGCTCTGTCAGTGACTTCTTACCTGAATTGCATTTCAATGGAAAACAACATGAAGGTTGATTTGAAACCGGTTTCCATACAGTGCATGGACAGAGTGGGATAGAATCAGCACACAGAGATGGAGACTTAAAGACGAAGCATCAAACCAGAGCCGAGTAAATAAATGGACAGAAGTTTTAAAAAGACTTTGATGATAAATTACAGTTAGCTGATTGACAGTAGATGCAGAGATCAAAGAGGTGGTGTCTTGTCTTGGTGGCTTTCACGTCTACACACTCCAAAGAGAGAGGGCATGATGTTAACCAGCTTTATTTAATGTCAACACAAAGTCCATCTAAGGCAGCCCGGCTTTGGAGATCCAAACACTGGACTCAGATCTGGACCCAATCATCGAAGCCCCTGACTGGTGGTTGGTCCTGATGGTAGGTGTAAATCCAAACTAGATCCACACACACTCCCGTTCACACCAGGCTCTGGAGGCATAATTGTAAGAAAACTGCAGACTGAAGCAGAAGGGACCTGTAGGGACGAACTGCCTCATTTCAGAGGAGCTTTCCCCAGACAACCATAGAGCTCTTTAAAAAAGCTGCCACAAATACTGGCAGCTTATCAATAAAAAAAACACCTGAGGAACAAAAGCATTTTTTAACAAACCCCCTGAAAACGGGTCGTCTGCCATTATGTGGGTCAGCTCTGGAACCCTATCTGCTGTGGTGATTTACACACTTTCTAACCGGAGTCCTTTGGCATGAACAGTGGCTGTCTGTTTAATTTGGGGGAAGTGCTCAGCCAACCTGAAAGGCTTTAAAACAACGGGGGCTCAGTGAGTGTCTCTGCGGCCCAGAGGGAGGACGGAGGTAAGAGCTTCTCTTTGGTCTTAATTCATAGCTCAGCGTATGTCTTCTTTCAGGGCTGAATTAGTTTTAATATTAGTTTTAGTATTGATGCTTCTGAGGGTGACGTCTGTCAGAACCAGCTTGTTGGCACATTTGAAATTTGAAAAGCAGAACATGAGCTGGGGTTGAAGTGGACAGGCATATGTCCCCGCACGCCTCTTTCTTTGGGCTGTGTACCCCATAATAATCGATTTTTTACAGATCATTTGAGAGACAAAACAGGTTACAGTCTAAAGTCGCTGCTGTGAAAACAACTAAATGTAATAAGGTCTGTTGATGCTGAGCGTGGTGAAAATAAAGCCCTTTTATGTCCCACAGACTCTTTGCAGGTAGTTTTATTGGGTCCAGGCTGAGGGGGGGGGGTCACCATGCGCTCCCTGTCTCTGCTGTGGCTCTGGGCGTCCTTCGGCCTGCCCTGGGCCTCGCCGCCCGCGCTCCTAGTGGAGGGGGACACGGACGGCTCCCGAATCTGCAAACCGGCCCCCCACTGGGACATAAAGGGCCAGGCGCCCATGCAGGGGGTGCGGGGGACCGTGGCCGTTGTGGCCCTGCTGAAGGCCAGCTGACAGTTCTGCCTCATTCAGGCCTCCAGGTGAGAGGAGGGACCAACCAAAGTCCAGATCCTTTTCTTTGCATGTTGCCAGGGAAATGGAAATCTAGAAAATGGATCTATTGAAAATCTCTAAATGGTAAAATGGTAAAAGCCCGTTCGTCCCCCGTCCACAGACTCGGAGGCCTGCGTGACAAACTGACCCGCAGCAACCTGACGGAGGTGTCCTTCATGATCGTGAACGACGGGGAGCTCCACTCCAGAGCCATGTACAGGGAGCTGAGCAGAGCGGCGCCCGGCGGGGTCCCCGTCTACCAGCAGTCCGTCCTTCAGAAAGACGTCTGGGAGACGCTGGACGGGGACAAAGACGATTTCCTGATCTACGACAGGTGAGGCCCAGCTGCCTCCCCCAGGTGTGGGACTCAGACCCACATGGTCAAACCCACCCTCCCCTGTGGAGGATGTGGTTTGAACCAAGAACAACACCGCTTTAAATATGACACGTCATGTTTTTCTTTCTTTTTTTACATATTTTAAATCGCCGACACAATACTTCATGAGATAGAGAGATGGAAGAAGGGATGAATGATGCTTCATGACTGCAGCGATTTTTAGTATATAGGCTTATTTCTTTCTTTCTCTCTCTCTTTCTGTAGGTGTGGTCTTCTCACCTTCCATATCGTGCTGCCCTACAGCTTCCTGAATTACCCTTATGTGGAAGCGGCTATCAGGGCCACTTATAACAGAGACATCTGCAACTGCTCTGTGAGTAGTCACATGACCACACATGAAAATGGCTGCCCGTGTGGACACAGATACATCGTTTAACAGCATTTTTCACTGCTAATCATGATCACTTTCTTACCCTGGCCAGCGAGTTTGGACCGACCATTTCATGAATTCTCATTAGCAAATCCAGGGTGTTTGCTTGACCCTTTAGCGTACTCGTGTCAGTGAGAATGTAACACTTTACCTGCATATGGTTCATTCCAGTGGTAGTTTTTGATTATTTTTTAATAAAAAGCATGTTTTTTTCAGTCCCAGTGAGTTTAATGGTGTTTTTCCTGGTTACCATTTATCATGATCATCAATGAAACTGATGAAGTTTATCTTTTCTAGTCTAATTCCACCTCGTTAAGAAGCCTGGACGTCTCCGTGAAAAACGCTTCGGGTCAGTTTAACGTGAACCGCACGGCTGCAGCTGGTCTGGAGGAGGAGGTCACACCCTCCGGCCGAGCCGCTGACCACAGCCACCATCCCCATCACGACCACCGTCTCCATCACACCAGCCATCAGGACCGGTCAGACGATGACAAAAACCTGAACAGTACGGCTCCTCATCAGGCTGACGGTCACCATCACCATCACCCACCCCGTCAGCAGGACTAATCCCAGCCAACATCATTACATATGAAAGAGTTTTACTTTGTTTTAATTGCCTTCTCCTATCTTAAGCTTGTTATGTTGTGATAAATTAGACTTCTAATTAGCTGAAGTGATTAAATGTCTTGGTTTTGGATTTAGATATGCAGGTAAACAGCGGATGCGTCTATTTTAAACAGCAGTCTCTTTGGGATTTCTCTGTTGGCATTTGCACAGCCCACCTCCTCTGTCTGGATGAAGTAGCCGGGCCTTCTCATCATCTCCCATTAATGAAGTCCACAGTGTAAAACCTGCCTGCAGGGGGCTGTGGATTGATGCAGGGGAGAGAAGCCAGGCGGCCGGGTGTTACACTCACCAGGACAGAGGATGGTTTAATGCAGCTACACAGGTTATTCTTTAAAATTGATTGTTTTCTGCTCACTTTGAACAGTTATTTCTGCCTTCTTTTTTTTTTACTGTGACCCTCATCAAATAAAAACACTGAGGTATTTAAAAAATTGCTAAAAAACATAAATTAGTTGCATTAAACATCTATTACCATTATTTTAAATCATTCTGAACAGATATATTCGTCACCCAGTTCTCACATTTCAAACTTTTTCCTGTAACGGAGTGTCTAGATTGCCATTACTGTTCTAAGATGAAACATAACAAATAGAAATGTTCCTCTATCTAATGTCTGAAGTCTGTGAAGAATATTTATCACTGTTTCTTAGAAGAAAACAAGGATTTCTGTTCAGATGGGACGTAAATGACAATATTTGTAATGATTTTACTGTCAAATGTCGACCTCATGTCTACATCCTGTCAGCAAAATGTTGAGCACTATAAATAACACTTTTAGGAGGGGTTTACCTATGTTGTGGAAATGTTATTTTAAAGCAAAAGTCTGAGTCCATCTGAGGAAGTAAGAAATAGAAATTTATTAAAAGGGAAAAAAGGGAAAGGGAAAACTTCATGAAGTGAGAGCAGCCAGCACGACCAAACAAGTGGTTCATATGACGAACCAAACTGCCCCAAAGTAAAACTGCTGCATTTTATAGCCCTCTGAGTCTGAAAAGAAGACGTAAAGTCTGTCCTTCATTCCGTACCTGTATTAAACAATCCTCCAGACAAAATATTCAGAGATAAAGCATAAGGAGACCTAACACCTGCTAAGCCATATGTCAACCTGAGCACAGAGGGGAAACGGGCCAATCAGCCCAGAGCTGCTTAGGACCGGCTGACATGCGGCGTGCTCTGACTGAGCACATAGCTGAGGGGGAATTCTCCAACCATACATCATCAGAATGACGGTACAGTAACATTTAAGGATCATACTAGATTAGGACCCAATGATAGAGCTGATTCTTCTCCTGCTATTGGGTAGCTTCAGCAGCAGGTGAAGCCTCTTAGTCCTGTGCTATGTGTGGGAGGCTGGACTTTCTCACTGAGTGACCGTCAGCATCTGGAGCATCATGCCCTCACGTGCAATGATGAGAGCAAAATACGCTGCTGTTTGTTTTAACCACCCTCCAGATTCTGTCCGTCAGAACGTTTTTCTCGTGAATCATCTTCTAGTGTTGCTGCTCATGGTAAACTTCAGCCGGCTGCAGGAGTCTGGATCTGTGAGGGATTTACTCTTTAAATCCTTGTGTGGCTTCAGGTGAGGCTTAACTACTTAGCTTTGTCCCCATAGCATGTTGCTTCAGGCGATGCAATAAATGGTGCTTTATCTTACCCGGAGCAGTGGGGGGGGAGGGGGGTCTGAATATTTGTTGTAAGACACGTAAACTGTGATGTTACAGTAGGAACCAGCAGAGATCTTAAAATGTGAAACTGGTCTTCTGATCATTATGTTCCATAGGGAACTGAGGTAAAACACTTCCTTTTACAAATAAAAACGTATTATCAGGAGCTGTTAAATTAAGTTTGAATAAACTAAATGCCATAAAAATCAATGATGGACCAAGTTGTCATTACTCTAAAAAAAAAATATTTTGAAAACAACGTTAGAACTGTGTGCTGATGGCATCCAGTCAGAGTTAGATGTTCTTAACCATTGAGGTTTTTTTGTATTTCTTCTGTATTTTGTAATCTCAGTGGCAGCTATAGACAGTAAGTATATTGATCTATTAACCCAAAAACTGATCAAAAACAGAAAAATAATCTCAAATTGATAACTTAAACTGAGCTGAAATGCAGCTAATGGGTGGCTGAGGGGGAATATCCAGGTGAAGTTCAGACTGTTTGCTCTTATGAAAAACAACTTTTTACTGAAGAAGGTGGTCGAGATGACCACTGGCTTTGGTACAGCTCTAACAAAAGGAACACATGCCTGTCATCATGCATGTCCAGTGTTCCTCCTCAGACACAAGGTGGCAGCACTGAAACATGTTGAGCATCTCTGAAAGCCAGAACTGCGTCCCCTCCATCAGGCAGCCGTTCATCACGAGGATTATTGGTTATTATCCATTATCAAGAGATACGTTAGGATTAGTGAACATAATCCCTGAAATATAATGCAGATCCTCACCGGGTGGCTTAATCAAATTTGCGCTGGGGTGATGAAACCTTAAAGAAGCATGCACTTTGTGAACATATGCTGTTTTACTCCACTTTGTTTTGCCTATGCTACATTTTTTAATTCTCAGCCTTACAAATTCCAACACAAACAGTTTCTCCCACAGGAGACTTTTTTGCTTTGTCGGCTGGCTCCAGTGAGGGCTGCAGGATCTCAGACATGTGGTACGAAACAACTTTAATGTGCAAAGAAACTTTCAGAATGCTGACATCTAGACATATTAGGACATACAAACCATAATACTGCAGAACGGTGGACACATGAGGAATGAATGAAAGTTGAAAACCAGAAACGTGGGAAGGGAATAGAATGTGTCTTTTTGATTTATTACAAACAATTTGCCAAAAATTCTAAGCTAATAAACCACAATTACATTACCACAGTCTCCCCCGGGGACTTTAAAGAACAATGTGTAAAGTCATGGAGCTCAGAAAAGGACATTTCATCCCACTCTGCTCGCATGACACATGTAGGACACAACATTGACCCAAAAGAAACTCCACCGGTCATTTGATTGTAGCAACCTACATTTTTTCTGTAGATTACCTTGTCTGTCAGTCCTGAACCCCTCAGTTTAGGAATATTATTGGGTTTATATTGGTTCACTTTGCCTTATTTGGGGCAGAGCTTCAGTGCTTTTAGTGCCAACATGCCAATCTCACACTTTCCTTTTGGGTGTAGGTACCAAATGTGACCCGTCTGGGTTAAGAATCTTGAAAGTTTGTACTCTGGATGTCTTTGTGTATGAGAATTAGAGCTGTCAGCAGCCAGTTTGACCTGATCAAGCATGTAGAACATTAAACCATTCTCCATGAGTCCTTTGGTCCTCTCTGTTGTAGAACTCTTTTTGCTTAAGACTATAAACTTCATTGTCTCTTATTTCCGGGGCAGGCATTGCTCAGGTGAGAAGTGGTATATGTGGCCTCCAAAGAAAACCTGAGACAGGTCCAGCAGTTTTAGGTTGTTTGTGCTTTGTTTTTTGTTTCTAATTCTTTAGGTTTGGGCAGCAAATTTGATTCGGTTCATGCAACAAATATCAAATCGGGGAGCTAAATGGCACATCGTGGTTTAAAGCTGAGAGTTACGGGAATAATCAGCAACTCTGTGCTCATTTTCAGGCTGTGTGTTAATACGGGAACACACTGCAGATTGGTCTGAATCAGCAACTGAAACTGCTGGTTTCAAGGTGGCTGAGTTCCACTCACCCCAAAGCATGAACACTTCTCCCCCTGAGGTCAAGTTAGTCACCAATTAACCTGCAGCACGTGTTTATGGGCTTGGAAATGAGTTTGAACCCAAGCTATAGCTGAGATCTGTACATTCATATACGCTTTCAGGACAAAGTTCTAACCACTCCTGCAGCCCTCCACTGGAAAAGATGACTGAACATGTGTCTCACAACCAGCCCTCCAGGGAGGGGAGTGGAGTTTAAACTCTTTTGTTTAGGACTGTGCATCTAGCAATTAGTTGGGACTGGATTGGCTTGATTCCCAGCAATCAGTTTATATGGTTTTGTCTCACCAGGGTGACTGATTTAAATAAATAATGATTGATGCAACAAGGAATACAAATTAAGAACATGTGCTTTTTTTCATTTATTATTATTATTTTTTACATCCAATGCTGTCTACCAGTTATTCCACTCAATTAACATTAATTATAATGTAACGGCATATCTCACCCTCTCGTCCCCTAAAACTGAACTTGGTTTCATATCTGTCCTTGAGAAACTGATGACACGAAGCCATTTATAGTTATACCTCCTTCAAATCAATGTGTCTGGCCTAATTTTGAACTTAATGACAGTTTCTTTTGCTCATTTGTTTCCATCTCAGGGTAACAAGGCTGTCACCATGTGGCAGAAAGTTCAATTACTCTACCAGGATATTCTGGAAAACGGAGGCAAGTAATTATGCTATTTTTAGCCCAACTGGATGCTTTTAACATCACAACCACAAAGCAATTTCATGTTTTACTCACAATAAACACAAAATCTGCATTTGAACATGTGCTTTTCTCTGGTATTTCTTTGTCTAGATAAAAGGACAGACAACTGGCTGCTGGTCTACTCTCCTGTGCCTATTATCTGTATAATCTTGTGCTACCTGATCATGATATGGGCGGGGCCAAAGCTGATGGAGAAGAGGCAGCCCGTCAACCTCAAACCTGTCCTGATAGTTTACAACTTTGCCATGGTCTGTCTCTCTGCCTACATGTTTTACGAGGTAAAGACTGCACAGAAAAGACGGAGTTACAGAAACAAGTCATTTATAGCTGATCACGATTTTCTGGGTCTTCAAACATCAGCTTTTCTTAATCAGAATCAGAAATACTTTAATAATCCCAGAGGGAAATTATTTTTGGCTCCATAAGTAAAACAAAGGCACATACATATATACATGTCTGTACATTTATACATATATATATATATACAAAATTCCTCATAGCAGTTGTTAGCATGTTTTTTTTAAGTAAAGGAACAGACAGCCCAAAGTACCAATTTACTTTCACGCTCAGTTAAATGTACAAATATCTCACTTTATGCTGGATATTAGGAAAAGGACTCAGTGAGTCCAGCTCGTTGCCATGAATATTTATAGGTGAAGATGTACATTTCAGAGGAGACCACGGCTTTACGCTCCATTTCAGGAGAAACAAAATGCAGGTTAGCAAACAGGAAACAGAAAGAAACTTAACTTGAGTTTGATTAAACCAATTAAACAAAATCAAGCTGAGCCAGGAAGGCATAGACTACACCGGGGAAACAAAAGCAAAAGTACAACTGGAAACCCAATTACAAATCTGTGTACAGAGCTACAAGAAGCACTCATGAGAGAAACATAAAGGACCTGACAAAAACTGAGCCGAAGAAAGGGAGGGAGACCTAACCAGGAAGTGATGGCAGATGACATTGTTTGAATCAGAAACAGGTGTGGAAGTGGAGCCCATAGCCAAAAACAGGGGAGCTGAGGATTACTGCGAGTAGTGACCAGGACCAGAAACTAAAACACAAACGATTGCCAACAAAGAACATAAAGGCGAAATTCAAAGCTGTTTAAACACTGAAAGGACCAGAAACTCAAATCACCAAGAATCTAAACAAGAAACCCAAGTCATAAAAATAAACCAAAGGTCTGAACGTTCCACAAACCCAAACAGGAATCCTTTAAGTGTATCTATGTGTGATGTTACCACACGTCAACAATAACTAATGCTAATGATTTAATGGACAGAATATTCCTTTGAACCAGGTTTGAATCTTCGTGTGATTAAACTGAGAAAACGGCCTTGTGTGTTTACAGTTTACAGCATCCTCTTGGTTGTCTGGATACAGTTTGTTGTGCCAGCCAGTCGACTACAGCTCCAGCCCACTGGCCATGAGGGTAAACCATCCCCACCAGGCTTTTTTAACTGTGTTCCTCTCTGAAATTTGATTGGAATTGTCCTTGACCACCTGCAGTAACACAATCCATATGCAACACTGGCTCAAAGATGTGTGTGTGCTTAGACTACAGACGGCACTTCGTTCATTTTCCAACTTGAAAAACTCTGAAATGATTGTTCTGAGCAACAATGGAGGCTGAACTGTCAGAGTATAAAGTTAACGCAGCGTTAAATGTTCAATTGTGTGTGTTTAAGAGTGAATACATCACAGGAGACAGCAGATAATTGTGTATTTCTGTGTGGTGTGTTGCACAGATGGCCAGAGTCTGCTGGTGGTTCTACTTTTCCAAAGTCATCGAACTCAGCGACACTGTGAGTAAACAAAAGTGGGAAAGAACGCGCTCATGTTCTTTATTTGGAAGTAAAGAAACTATGTTCTGAACTTGTTGTTTGCACACTGTCAGTACAGTGTTAAACACGTCCTGCAAGTCCACAGTTACATACATACACAACACACAACTGTTTGTTAAAAAATAGGCCATTTTCTCAAAGTTTCTATTAAAAACGTTGGCATTCACATGCACGTTTGGTTCCTTCAAATAAAACCTGAAGCTTTTATTGAAAGGCAGACTTCCAAAAATGTTCTGAAGCATTTTGCTGGAGCAATTTCTTGAACTCTCTCAAGCGTTCAAGTCCTCCCGCCACCACCACATAACCCTCAGCGTCCCTCTGCACGCATGGCTTCCCTTTAAAAAACACAGGCTTTTTCTTTATTCCCTCATCTCTGTGTTTACGTGGCGTAGCTATTTTTCATCCTGAGGAAAAAGAACAGCCAGCTGACCTTCCTCCATGTCTACCATCATGCCACAATGATCTTCAACTGGTGGGCCGGAGTTAAATTTGTGGCCGGGGGGCAGTGTGAGTACTGCACACATCCACACATGCTGACACATGCAGTGTGTTTACAACGTCCAATGGCTGTCCCGATTATCCGTCCACAGCTTTCATGATTGGTCTGATCAACTCCTTTGTCCACGTGATAATGTATTTGTACTATGGGCTGGCAGCTTTTGGGCCGAGCATGAGCAAATACCTGTGGTGGAAACGGTACCTCACCTGCCTGCAGCTGGTGAGTAGAAAGTATACAAAGAGAGTCCTGGGGGGTTGGATGTGGACAGTGGGGTGGGTGGGATGAGTGAAAACAAATAAAGACAAAGGAGTGTGTTGTGGTGCCACTTTATGGTGAAACATAAAAGATTTAAACAGGTTCATATCTTATATGAACCATATAACCAAATGGTTAAAACTGTGTAACCAGTCACATTTATGCCTCCACTTTTGAAAAAAAAAAAAGCTGTTCAGTCTTGTTTTCTTTACATTTGAGTATGCGTTCCGTAAATTCAGAGCCATTAATTATGGTGAAACTAACATTGAAGCTTCCCGGTGGGTTCCTCTCTCTGATTGGCTGTCTGTTTAATTGGACAGATTAGCACCACTGATGCCCTCCCGTTAACTTCTACCATCTGTTCAGTCGTCATATCATTAATGGGGAAACAATGCATTCTGTTGTAGGATTTTCTTTTGTGCGCATCACTCCGGCATGTACGCATCACTCTTCTCCTCTCCGGCCCTCAGGCCTTCATTAAAAGATTGCTCCACACGTTTGGTTCCCAGCGTAGCGGATGTGGTCTGAAAAATAATGTTTCACTGTGTTTACTCTTACTTCTTTATTTGATTCGTAAAGGTAAAAACTTCTGTTGCCATAGGCATGCAAAAGTTTATTTTACGATAACTAAATAAAGTTTAAGGTTAATTGTTTGTTTTTGGCAATAGCTAAAGCCGTGCAGAAGTTGGGGCGTTGCATGATTTAAGGTAGATGGTCCCAGTTCTCTTTATGTGGGTGGAATATCTATTATTTCCAAAGAGTTTTTCAAAGTTTGATTAGTCTGAGCACATATCTTTTTTTAACTTTGACTCAGTCCATTCTAAATGAGCTTTGGCATCGAGAATTGTTCACTCTGGATCATATTTAATGTTTTTTGCTCTTTAACATGCAGGGGTGGACAGCATGGTGGACAGTGTTTTAGCATTATTCCAGGGCTCATCAATGTTATTTCAGTAGAGAATCATGCTTTTAAAAAAAGATCCCAACCATCTTAGAACCAGATTCAGACTCCAGATTCTCTGATCATTTCGGTTATATTTGAGTTTAGCTGAATTTAGCAGGAATATTCATGGTCTTTAATGAAAACCATCATTCTGAAATGACTGCTGAACCTCTGCTCATCTTTACTTCTGAGAAATCACTTTTTTAGAATACACAATCATGTTACTGACCTATTTCCAACCCACTTTGTTTCTCCAGCTGCTTTTTACTTAAACGTACTTACTCTTCCACGTTGCTGCCACAACAACATGCAGAAACGTACTTAAAGAAATAATGTCTTACTTTCAATATCAAAAAAGGAAAGTGGCACTTTTCTGTTTTATGTCAAGAGCATTTGAGGATTTTTATGGTCCAAATGTGTGTGTTCATTTGCATGTTTGCCACATTTGAAGGCTGAGTTGATGATTTGTGTTGACACATCTCTTCTTCATCTGTCTCATCAGATGCAGTTTTTCATGGTTACCATCCACACCATCTACAACCTGTTTGCTGACTGTGACTTCCCAGACTCCATGAATGTGGTTGTGTTGGCCTATTCTCTCAGCCTAATTGCCCTTTTCAGTAACTTTTACTATCAGAGTTACCTTGCAAAGAAGACGAAGAACAAGTAGACTAATGACAGAAGGAAAAGTGGTTGAATAAGAGATTTTGATGCCAAGTGAACATTTAAAGATATTTGCAAAGCTGTTTGTTTTTGTTTCAGTGATAATTTATTCATGGTTACTGCATATTTCCTGTATATGAATAAAATGGATGAGAAAACCTAAGTAATAATGTAAAATGAAGAAATGAACCAAATGTTTTACTTTGATAACTTAACCATTTGTATGTGTATATTTGCCTTCAGGGCCATATTTGCCACCCAATTACAGCTATAGATATTTGATACAGCAGTTCCTGGAAGTAATTCCCAAAAGCTCATCTGTCCACCTCCAAATGTTATATATCCATTATTTTTTTCAAGGAAATTAAACTGTTTTTAAAACTGCTGTGGATACAACTCTGCATCTTTTTTCTTGTTCACTGCTGTTGTTGTGGGTATAAAACACCAGGTGACTTTAACAAGGTGATAGCTTCAACATCAGTTGAATATAAACTATAAGCTTTGTCAGAAGGCAAAAAATAAATTATGTCTGCTAAAAAGTGACACAGGAAATCCCGAGTGCAGCTCAATGATGACCAATTCTAAGACCACTTCAACCAGCCATTCATTTACATCCATTGTATCGTGACTGAAGATCCTATAAAGCACAGATAACACAAAAAGAAACTGAGACATGCTTGAAAAGTGTGTCTTAAGAAAGCGGAAGTAATTTCACAAGGTCGACGTTAAAGTGTTCCATTTCTACACTTTTAATATATATGGGTTTGCTGGCTTCAGGGGCTAAGCTGGCTCAGAGTTTCCAGACTCATGAGCTCTCAGAGGTGGTCTGGTTCACTTAATAAGCATCAGATAGCAGAAGCCAGGGCAAGCAAAAAGTCACATCACTTTTCGAGCTGAAATGGAGGCCACAGACACTGCTAGCTCCAGGATGTAATCCTGCACGCAGGCCTATCTGGTTTGCCATTCCCAGAGCTTGTGGCTTCCACCATTAATGAGCCCCCAGTGAGCCCAGTCCCTGGCTTTATTTAGCCCGGAGCTGCCAGAGCTGGTGGGTTTGTTGCCCTCATGGTTCGCCTAGTTGTACATCTCCTTTGCTTTGCCCGTGCTAACTCCTCATCAGCTGCATGCAAATAGGCAGAACGTATAGATAAGACCTGACACCATCATTAAGCCTACATACCACTGCTCCATTCATTCTCCTCCCTTTTTGATTGGGGTTTTGGGTTATCCTTTTAGCTTTCATTTGGTCTTTTATTTAAATGTTGTGCTCCTTAGTTAGCGTACCCGTTGTCTTATTATTTAGTATCGTGCTTTCAGATGTTTTTACCTTACATTTAAATAACAATTAATTTCTAATTTCCTCTCCAGTTTTTTCATTTCCTCATGCCATTTGTTTATACATACACCTGGTTTTCATTTGGCTATTCTTTGATCATTTATGTGGAAATATTTCACATATCTGAGTCAATTCTCTGTTTGGGTTTCATATATTAATGAATTAAACTTTACAGACCATCTGCCCGCTATTTCTTGCTCCACTCCATTGTGCTTTTGGGTCTAGTTTCTCTGATGCAGTCAGTGTCTAGTCTTTAATCCGTCTTGCCAGAGGAGTGACCCACTCACACAGCCCCCCTTTCAGCCCACCTAAACCATCTGTCATAATGCAGAAACACAACTGGACAAATCAGCAACACAGTCCTGCTCTGCCGCTCCCATTCACACCCCCTTGTGGACAACGCTCTTAACTAAATGTATTCTCCCCTTGTTGTATTCTTCCACCATCATCAATTATTTCAGCCCTGTTTTTTTGCAGCATATTAGTTTTGACTACTTTTTATTCCAAACACAACAGGGGCCGACATGAAAAATGACTTTGAAGTGGCAAAATCAAAGGCAGCATCCTACATAAGCCACAGCGAAACCCATTGACTCGTGGCTCAGAGAATCTCCTCTCATTAATGAGAGTTTTTCATAGTAACCTGAAATAGCTGAGCTCTTTTGTGTGGTGATGTAAAACAGTGTTATGCTACAGCAGTGTTGCGGTCGGCTTGTACCTGTTTCTGTTCATTACTCATAAGCAAAACTTACTACAGAGTCACAACTCCATTTGTGCCTTTTCTCTTATGGTAGTGAAACACATGTGCCACTTAAAGCTCTTTAATTAAACTGAAATTCAATTTATAACTGTTCAACCAAACAGTTGTTTGATATATACACAATCAAATGTGTTCAATCTACCAAGGAGTTGATACAGTATTAAAGTCCCGTTTGCTATTGACTGTACAATATATTATCTTGTATATGAACAAATTCAAACTGGAGCAGAACTATGAGAAAGTCCTTTTTGATTTATTGACCAAGTACAGGAGTAGCATGTACAGATTCTTTGAAAGATTTTCTTAAAGTAGCTTCCCTAAATTGAATTGGCAGTAAAATTAAAAACAATTACGAGCTTAAACAAATCCAACAGCCATTAAACATCAGAAAGTCGGCAGACAGATGTTCACCAATGCTCCCATCTCTGTGGAATCTTCAGATAAAAGAAGCTAAAAACCAACGCTCCAAAACACAAACAACCACTCTCAGTCACGCCTCGGGAATTTGGAGCATCCAGTTAACCTAACATGCATGCTTTTGGATGGTGGGAGGAAGCCGGAGTACCCGGAGAGATCCCACGCAGACGGAAATGTCCCAGGTCCCCCAGGAACTGAGACCGGGAACCCTCCTGATGCAAGGCAACAGCGCTACCCATCACACCTCCACGCTGCCGGAGAACATAGATATATATTTGATAAAGAACGTTTAGAAACATAGATTGGCTTCAGTCTGATGAAACTAAAAGGGTAGCTCAACATGTTTGTCTACATGGCGCTGCACGAGTTTTCAAATAAAGCTCTCGTGTTGCATTAAAAAATATATTTTGCTCCCGGCAAGTACTTAATCTACTCGCCATGTACAAGCACACACACACACACAAATGGCTGCCAGAAGCCCATTTGAAGCTGGATGCCCCTCAGCCTGGCCGCAGGCACAGCTCCAGGTTCATTACTGCTGAGTGCTGCTCCGCTCAGGCGTGGCTGACTTTTTGGCTCCGTTCTGATCAACTTCTGCGATTGCAACCAGATGATGGGCTTCAGCTGGTGCGCTTAGGCCAGTCATGATGCGTTTGAGGTTATTCCGAACAAAGAGAGGGGTTGACTTTAACCAACATTAAACCTAATTAAATAACTTTTGATTGGCGTGGATGTTGATTAAGATTCTTGGGGTGTCACGGTCAATAAAGGCATTTAGAGACTGGGCAAGCCAAGCAAAAGCTGCGAGGGTACTAATACCAACATTTTCTCAATCTGTGAATGACTTTGTGTTAGTCTCCTTGGAAACTGTACCAGACAGTGTTTGGGCTGCGGTCAGTTAGAGGCAGACTGTAATTAATAATCAGGTTAGAGTGAGAGGATATTGAAACACTCTTGGAGCGGCTGCTGCTAACTCCCAAGCATGTGAGAGGAAGAGAGATGCACGCACACAGACATAATTGTAGGTAGTGAGAGAGGTTTTGGGCAAAGAGGCTTATAAGTGTGCTTGAAGGTGAGCCACTGGGTTGTTTCGAACAATGAGGGTTAACAAGAGGCTGCGGCAATTGCAGCATGATGGGAACACACTCCACCACTGGAAAGCTACTGTTAATCAGCCTACCAACCAGCTCCGAGCTCCCTCACAGGAGTGTGCGTAATTAACGAGCACGGAGCTCTGACAAGTACACTCCGTGAGGTCTTTCTTTTATTTAAACGCTCAAGTATAATCCCGTGTTTTAAAAAGCAGCTACGTCATTCCTCTGTAGATGTGGCTTTTTGTTTGGAGGTCTTTATGCTCAGCAAGAAAATCCCATCTGTTGGTGACACCATCCTCATCTATGGACAAAGGGATGAACCCAACACTTAACTGAGTTATCAGAGATTTATACACACAGTACCACACATATTGAGAGGCACCAAGCTTAATTTATGGGTTATGTATTATTCTTTGTTTTTGGTCAAACTATTAGACCTGAGGGAAGGACAACTAATGACCGTATGGGAACAAGTGGTTGTAAAAAATAGCAGTGGGTTACTGAAACTAAGATAAGTTTTCCAGAATTGCGAAAGAGAACTGAGGACAGGAAATAAAAGAGAACATGAGGGCTTAGCGGCTGGCTGACAGACTCAAGAACAAAGAGACCACAAAACACAATAGATATCACAGACGAAGACACCAATTTGCAATGATATGGCAACGAACAAAGGGAAACCAAGGGGAGCCAAAAGAGGTGATAACAAATAAGGATCAGGTGTGGCAATCAGGAGCTGCAGACCAGATGTGACGGAGGAGGTAAAATCTACAACATACACATGGGGTTGGCTAGACATGATAAAACCGAAGGCAAGGAATTAAAATCAAAATAGGTGACTAGAAAAAAACAAGTCAAACTCAAAACCTATAAACCGGGGGTGTCAAAATCCTGTCCTCGAAGGCCCCATTCTTCAGCGTAAAGATGTTTCTGAGCTTCAACCCTCCTGACTCCCGTTAGTGAGCCTGTGGCAGGCTTGTGCAGGCTGCTTCTTTTTAATCTTCTCCAGGTGTGTTGAAGCAGGGAAACGTCTAAAACCCTCAAGACAGCAACCCTCGTGGGCTGGATTTTGACACCTCTGCTGTAGACCCTGACACACACACACACAGGCTAAAATGGTGTTTCCCAACCCTGGTCCAAGCCTCTCTGCTCTCTGCTCCAGCACACCTGGTTGAAACGTGGGTCTTCATCAGCCTTCTGCAAAGAGTAAGGAGCAGAAGAGCTGCGCCATGTCTTTGAGTGAGCTTTGCATTTTAATTTTTGCAGTGAAAGAAGGCACAACACTGTGGGTGTCTGTCATTGTCACGCTGGCAAACAGAGCAGAAATGATATATAACCGGAGCAACTGAAAGCCAAACATGCCTGGAACAATCCAGAGTGACGGCATGAAAAAGTGTTAGCTACCACCCAGTAACTCCGACACAACAAAGACCAGGAACTTTTGGGAAAATTGCGCATTGCTTTTCCTGTTTTGGTTGACTAGCTTTGATTGCCTGGTTGACCCACAAAGACTCAGAACCTACCCGTCGATATGTTTTCAGCCACACAACAATAGAGTTTCAAGTGCAAATGGTGTTGCCTGACTG